ACAAAATCCGGGAAAGCAGCAGGAAAACCTCAGGAGCAGCTGCTAATTACAATTATTAATAATTATTAATTAGCTGACAATTAATTCCGTGCTCTGAGGGAGTCCTGGAGGTTTTTTTGGGAGACGGAATTCCAAGGAAAAATCCGATTCCTGCTTTGGGAATCCAATTCCCAGTTTGGGAATCCCTCTCCTGACCCTGCCCCAATCCCAGTCCTGATCCCGATCCTCTCCTGCCCCAATCCCAATCCCGATGCTGATTTTCTTCTAACCCTGCCCAAGTCCCAGTCTTGATCCTAATCTTGATGCCAACTCTCTCTTGACCCGACCCCAATCCCAATCCTGACTCTTTCCCCATTCCATGAATCCCATCTCATCCCATTGATCCCATCCCATCCCATTGATCTTATCCCATCAATCCCATGGATCCCATCCCATGGATCCCGTCCCATGGATCCCATCCCATCCCATGGATCCCATCCCATCGATCCCATCCCATGGATTCCATTCCATCCAATTGATCCCATCCCACCCCACTGATCTCATCCCATTCCATCCCACCCTATGGATCCCCTATCCCATTGATCCTATCCCATGGATACCATCCCATCCCATGGATCCCATCCCATGGATCCCATTCCATTGATCCCATTCCATCCCATGGATCCCATTGATCCCATCCCATGGATCCCATCCAACTGATCCCATCCCCTCCTATCCCACAGATCCCATCTCATTGATCCCGTCCCATCCCATCCCATGGATCCTATCCCATGGATCCCATTGATCCCATCCCATTGATCCCGTCCCATCCCCTCCTATCCCATAGATCCTATCCCATTGATCCCATCCCATGGATCCCATTGATCCCGTCCCATCCCATCCCATCCCATGGATCCCATCCCATGGATCCCATCCAACTGATCCCATCCCCTCCTATCCCACAGATCCCATCCCATTGATCCCATCCCATCCCCTCCTATCCCATAGATCCCATCCCATGGATCCCATTGATCCCATCCCATTGATCCCGTCCCATCCCATCCCATCCCATGGATCCCATCCCCTCCTATCCCATAGATCCCATCCCATTGATCCCATCCCATTGATCCCGTCCCATCCCATCCCACGGATCCCATCCCAGTCCCCTCCTCTCCCGGTGTCCCC